ACTGTCTTCGTAACACAGGACCGCGCAAGTTTTTAATCTTGATTCGGACTAATCCTATCTTTCGTGCGATCTGAAACTATGAAGAGTATATATATCAGCGCTTTAGCAATAATCAATATTGCACGGTTTACGATATTTATTTGTGGGCTTTTGGGGTAATGAAAGCCGCGGATATAATGAAATATGATTTATTACTAAATTCGCGAGATATATACATTAGGCCATACACATAAGAACGTAATCTTTCTCGTAGGCTTCTGATATCTCAGTAAGTAGAACGTCACGCTTGATTCCTCGTCGTCGCGACGACGGCGAAGAGTCTCACGTGCGTTCGCCGTCTTCGAAAACACAAGTGTGTACAGAGGTACATATATTTATTTCCGCATCGGCGTTTTTATTGTGTGTATGTGTATATGTATACATGTGTGTATGTACGTGTGTGTGTGTGTGTGTGTGTGTGTATCCAGAAGCTCGTTACAACTGAAAGCTAACACCGAGTACATCGTCTTTATTTTTTTCTTCTTTTATTTAACTACACGTCTCGCCTCTCGCGAGCGAAGATACGGGCGCGCGTTTACGCGTTCTCGCGTTAGGTATTCCTTATCTCTGTACCGGCGATGTCCCGCGACATTACTCGAGACGCGCCATTTGAACACTTTCACAATATGGCTAAATATTTCCGTTATCGTCCTATCGGACGCGAGATTGACATCCCTACGTCCGTTTAATCACACACGAGACTTCCGAGATGCGAAGTCCTTCAGTCTCCCTTCTGAGAGAGAGAGAGAGTTAACCCTTTTTACTATTATACATTACAGCGCAGTTATATACAGGGGTATGTACAATTCTTTGCTCGGCCAACGCCGCCGTAAATATCGGAGATATGTCCCCCGATAAGACGCAAAACATACCTGCCGTCCAACGACACTTCAAAGCAAACGAAAAGCTAAAGCCTGCTCGCCGGAATATGTAAATGTAAAGTGCCTCGCGTTCTCCTGTCGTAATCAGAAAAGACGTATCAGCTATGTACAGTTTTTGTACGTCGAGTGCGGTTAACCGTGCCGGCGAAGTTTATTAACTATATATGGCGGAGTGTGATAATTAGAGCTCGAAAATAACGACGGTGGGGTGTAATGCGGAGTTTATGCATCTGCAGTGAAATCTCTCGTACCAAATGAGGTATTAAAACGTCCGACTGTATTTATTATTTGAAACATCCTGCCCTAATAAATGTAAAAGATAATAAAAATTATGTAAAAATTTTGCTGATTTACGAATTAAAAAACCAGACCGATCGGAGCGATCATTTTGACTATTTATTAATTCATATTTCCTGTACTCTGTTTGAAATTATTAATCAGTATTAATGATTTATATTTAAAAGAAGATTCTGTGATTTCTACATCATTTGAATACCAAAAAAACTTATCCACATGAAATATCGAAAAATTTTCGCAAATATTCCTATTTGCGCCAATGCATGTTTGATAGTAATTACGAGCCGCATAAAAAAGGGAATCAAAGCAAATGAATGTGCACGGTGATGTACTATTGTACATGCACGTAATTAATACTCCACATATACCTTCGTACTGTCGCGATGACGTGTTACCTTCTTAAGCCATGACGCAGCACGTTGCGCCGAGAATTAATGATAAATTCCCAACTCGAAACTTCACCTCCCACCTTAAAGTTCCGGCGGGTCTTTTGCATGCCAAAGAGACACCCCGATCACGCAGAACCTTTCACACGCGCGCCATAATAACTCGCTAAAAATCATATATAGAACGGCCCTTTTTTTTCCTATCCGACAAATTGTATTGATCCCGCCGAAACGCGTCCCGCTTGCACTCGACTCAACACTCTCGCCGACAAACCGAAGCGCAATACCGAATCCCAACACGAAACTGCCATAAACGAGGGCCCGCGCGCTCCCGTTCCCTCTTTACAGCTTCACGCGACTCCTACACGACTATAAACGCGGCGGCGCATCCTGCGAACAATCCCATGTGATCGCGAGACCTCGCTACTATCTGGGAAGTTATCGATTCCGAGACGGGAAGCGTGGAACTGGAAGAGCTTAACGGGTCGTATTTGTCGCACGCTCTGCCATCGATAAACACGTGCGAATCGAGGAAAAGCGAAACAAAGAGCGTGTAACGTAACGTCGTTTCTGTTATGCGTGCGCGTCTATAACAGTTTCAATACGCTTCATCAGCAGTATCGGCGCCGATTCCGTCGTGAAATCCTCGATACAAACTGGGAATTTGAATAACTGAGAACCGCCGGTAATAAGGCTAACGACGCGAATCACACGCGAAAATGCGTACGAAGGCCTTTCTGTTAGACATCGTTTCGCGTATTACAGTTACGAGCGGCTTTTCCGTGGATTATGGAAGATGATTGTATTCGCGATGAAGGCAAAGACCGATATCGCTCTCTCGCACAAACCCTCCGGGATTCGAATTGAATATTTTATCGAATCGTCCTCTCGGAAGCGCGTCTAACTAAATCTTAATGAACGGTATCTTAATCGTATAGTCTGCGAATATCCTCTCATCTAATATTCCCGCGAAGGCTAACGTCCCCTAATTTCGGACGTGAATCCACTTCGTTGAGACCACGAGATCCTGCAGATGTAATGGATTTTATTGGACGCTCGCGCCTTCCCGCCCCGCCGTACTCCGTAAAATCTGGCTATTATATTTATTATGTACGTTAACATTTATTTATTTACGTCGACCTGTCGATCGCGACGACGCACAACTGTACCAGCGAGACACGCGAAAACACAGCGGGAATGTAACAACTATTAATCTCGGGTGAAAAAATAACGCATTTCCGCGGAGAGTCCTGTATAAATATCTACGTCAGCCGTGTGTACGTTGAACTTTGTAAATTAATCGGCTTACGCGTATGAATCATATTTTCCGATCGCTCGCGATCGTTGATGGCGGCTGCTGCCGTTTCGTGCATATATGTTTATATACATGTGTGTGTGTATGTGTATATGTTTACGCGATAAAAAAAAAATAAACACTTCGGGAACGCTGCAGCTCTGGTGTTCGTCACGCTTTTTATGCGCCTGTACGATCTCGCAGGTGTCGAAACGCTAGGGCAAACAGCAAGCCAATGAACCTCTTAACTTTTTATAGGATTGATTATGATTTTTGATTTGCGAATTTACATATACGTTTACATATTATACCTGTAATCGATTAGCCAACTATTACATATAATTAATAAATTATAGTACAGTGCCTGAATAAACTTTGTGCTATCTTTTCAATATAAAAGGTTAAATAGAAAATAATAAAATGTTCTTCAAAATATTTTTAAATAAAACATTAAGCTAAAATATGAATACTTTTTCCAATTCCGTTCTGTTTTTTTTTTATAATTTAGTCGACTGTGGTATTTATCATTTATAATTTTAAATATATAATTTTGAATTTTAAATAATTCTTGGATGAAAGATTTATGGACGTATGAAACGATAATGACAGAACTGACGCATTATCTATGGTACAACGATGAATAAATTTTTTCAAGATTTCAACGATATTCTTTTCCATGCAATTCCGTTCAGGATTACTGTTCACCCTGGCGGTAAGGTTCTTCTTTTTGCACTTCCATCCATTTAGCAGGTTTTTCGGCGTGATGATGTATTATGCAGCAAAAAGGGAAGGTGCCCGTGCAATTGGAGATCCGCGAGTTTCTTCTTGGCTTATCATATTAATTACATGTATCAATTAAAAGTTATAATTAGAATGAAGGAAGCTTACGACGGGGCTCGATGAAAACGTGTGTCTACCTAGGTGTTGTATATATTTACACTCGACCGCGACATGTATATATAATCGATAACGATTGCATCTCGACAACTGCTGCGCCCGTTATCACTGACAACAGTATCACGCTGAGAAGATTTTCGAAGTCCTGAGGTACAACGCTCTCGACGCTTTCAAACTGATTTCTCCTGATTGCAAAATTTCGTGGCCATTATATCACGTGAACGATTCGCAAATTGAAAAAACTTGCAGTATCTCGCGCAAAAAATTATGTATTGTTTTCTAAAGCTATATCCCCGAGACATTTTTTTTCCGTATACACTTTTGTTCTTTTTTAATTCAGATTGTTTTTAAACTATTTTCACATGATTCAAACATAAGCGAGACGATCGAAGAACGAAAATACAAAACATGGGATTTACATGCTTATTATTATTTCAACGGAAAAATATTGCAATGTCAAAAGTGCTGCAATTGTAATAAAAATTGCATGTGGAAATCGATATATGCCGTTGTCTGAAGTGCCAAATGCATTTTTAGCTCATTATTTCTCTTGATATAGAACTTCAAATTCTTGATCAGCTCGCGAGTATTATTTTTGATACGGTATTGAGGTACTTACTCTTCTTCCCTTTTTTGTCATCAGCACAAAATCTCGTTCCTCATCCATGATTCTCCGATTGACTGCATCTCTTACTTGTGGACTATTAACAAAATGATAACACGTAAAAAAATAAAAATAAAAATTCACCGGATTCAAACTTCCGAAGAAAGTAGAAATCAATGTTTCGTTTAATTTTACGTGGCAGTATTAAGTGACGACAGTATCAGTTCTAATTAGCAATTTCTGTTAAATCCGTAATAATTTGTTAATAAAATTTTATTCAAATTTTATTTTACGGCTGCAGAATTAGTTCATTTTCCAACTTATATCGTTAAGATGGAAAGTTCGAAAAGTTCCTTCTCGTTATCGAGAGTTTGAACCCTCGAGTGCGGCCGATTTGAATCTATTTCACGAGTAACGACGCAGATATCGATCCTAACGGAATAGACGAGCGTCGAGATGGAGGTTCCTCGCACGTGCGAGAACTTTGTGGGTGTCCACTTGGTTATCGCGTATTTTCCTCCGTAGTTAATTAGACTATCTAGAATTTTATGCGTGTCGGGGAGATGGGGGGGGGGG